GATGTATGTGTGACCAGTAGCCCCAAAGATGGATGGCCTCCATGATATTAAAGATTGTTGTATTAAAGATTGATGCACAGTGAGATATTTGACTGACACACGTGCAGTCTGGTGAGCACCCAAGGGCCATTGCTCACTTTCTTGGGGCCCAAAAATATGTAAGCTGTTTCTCTCAGGCCAGGGATAGAATTGCTCGTCCTGAATGAGGCCAGGAATATAGCCTTGCTCAATCCGGAAATATTGGCTAGCTTGAATGCAAGGATAACATTGCAAAACTCAAAAGCCTGTGACATATATGTAAATTGAGAGAACATGGTCTAATAGTCCCTATGGCCCTATTTCCTGTGAAAATGATGTGCATCATTAGTACTCAATTAGTCCTAACAGTCATCAAAGCAGGCTCAGAGTCACCTAGCACCAGGCAACATGTTGCCTCTTCAGGTGCAACTTGAAGATTATTTGAAAATCCTACCTGGGAGGCCAAAACTACAGGAAACACCTGGCAGTGGTCAAGATTTCAACTGATATGAGCTACGTAGTAAGAACTGATATTGGAGGACTCAACTTAGTACTAGAGCTACTTAGGTAAGTGTTGCAGGATGTTTTGTTTGAGATACCTCTGAGACACAAAGACATCATGCAGTTTCACATCAAGAGGAAAAATGCAGAGCCAAAAAAGAAATGCTATAGAAATGAATGAAACATAACTTTTTAAAAAAGTTGAGTCTTTGCCAAGATCTTTTAGTTTAAAAAAAAAAAAAAAGACACTGTGTGACACTTTTTTCATTAGTTTCATGAATGGATTGAAATGCTGTGAAAATTGAGAGGATAGTTGCAGTGTCTCCTGCTGCAAAATACTGAGGCAGACACAGTGGTACGGTGTAACACTGGCGATACACAGAAGGATTTCTCATTTGTAGTTCCGACTTGCACTCTGAGCAGTATCTGGCAGCGAGTAGGCTATGTTTTTCTTTTTTGTCTAAAATTGAACATCTACAAAGGCTCACATTCATCAAAAGTAGATGAAAGTTGAAAAAGTTGAAAAAAAATTACACAAAGAAAGTGAAGATAGAGAGATTTGTGCCCTGAGAATCATAGAATCATAGAAACACAAGGTTGGAAAGGACCTACAAGATCATGTAGTCCAACTGTCCAAAATTTGTGGACTACTGTCACAGTTATCCTTTCTGTAGAATAAAGAATGCTGCAGATGATCCCCATAAGCCCTCATATTTACATTGCTTAGGCTGGTGAACATGATGTGATATAACTATAACACCCTAAAAACTTCATGGATCTTCTTATTTTGGTAGAGGTGCTGTTTTTTGGCTGAGTCTGGTGCACAGGTAAATGTCAATTTCCATATTTAGCTCAGCCAATGGAAGATGATACAGCCCTCAGATGCACATTATCCTGTCTTTCTGGAGGTTATTGACTTGCTAGATTTGTTTTCCTAATTATAAATCCAGATTTACCAGTTTGGCTTCAGCAGAGCCCAAACTGAATGTCTATCAAAGCTGAGATTCATTTAATAAAAATACATGAGATCTGAGCAATCAATACCAGAACCATACAAATAAACACCCTACTATCTGCAAGCAGTTCCTTTGGCCTCTCTCTGGTAATCAGGTATTCTTTTTTTTGTTTGTTTGTTTTGTTTATTTTTATTTATTTATTTATTTTTGTTTTGTTGGTAGGTGTCTTCCTGGTTGGGTTTGAACAAAATCTAAGATTTTAGCTTATATGTCTTCAGTTATACACCCTGATGCATAGCTGGATGAATGCACTGGTCCTCTGTAGCTATAGACCCACTAATCTATGCACCTGATTTTGGAGGTTGTTACATGTATTTGTGGAACCCTGAATGAGCTACAGCCTCGAGCAGATCAGTGCAGACTTTCTTCTACAACAAACTTCTTTCTCCAAGAAACCTAAGAATGTTTTAGACTTAGAAAAAGTCAATCTTTACTGGAATAAAAACTAGAAACTTAGCTTTTGAAATAGATAAAACTGCAAACAACTAGGTCAGACAGAAAAAAAATTATAATGGTTTATGCACAGGTCCTTCCTGCCCCTGTGTCTTTGCAGGCAGATTCTAATTTCAGGCTTAATTGCAACTAACTCTGTGACTTTCTGAGCCTTAATACGAGTTTCCCAGTCCCTTCTGTGCCCTGGGAAATTCCTTCTGTTCCTTCTCAAGCCTTGACTTTGGCTTTCTGGATACAACCGAAGACTCTCTGGCTTTCTGGAGGAGGTACAAGCTCCCAGCTCTCTCTGTCTGTCCCCTTATTCTCTGCCATCCCCTGCAGCTTCAAGAACCTTCTCCCCATGTAATTTACATTACAACCTTGCTGAGGAGCATAGCAAATAACTGAGAATACAGAAATAAAATAAATATCATCTGTCAATTTTAAAGTGGCAATCTAAATGTGAAACTGAAATAACACAGAAAACCCTTATTATTCGATACCTTCCTTCACAATCTAACAGGCAAAAGTAGCCACTTCCATTATATCTCTCTACATTACTATTTGGCAGGCTTTCTCATTCTCAGAAATTAATCAGCTAAGGCAGGCATTTATGTCAATAAGAGCAAGGTTTGGGCCCATAGACCTGCAAAGTGACACATGCATGTGCTTAATAATTTGCTATAGGCAAAATCAGTCAGGTAAGTTTCAACCAAAGATTTAAACTGTCTAAGACAATCAGCCTGAGTTTGCCTGAAAAGAATTAAGTTGTTCCACTGTCAGACTGGGCAATGGTTTCTGACAAGGGGTAGTCAGCACTTCTAGAGCTGGATGGGGAAAAGCAAGTCTCTCTGTGGCCTAAAACCACTTGCATTATTCAGCCTTTAAGAGACGCTTTCATTTCCAGTTGGACCAGCTGGACTTCCTTTGTTTCAGAGTCTGAAGTGTAGCAAGAGAGGGCAGTTTCCAATAGACATGCCAGTGGGAAAATGAACATAGCAATATGCAGATTTCATGGGGTCATTTTTTGGCATGTATCTTGGCTTATCAGTACTCATCTCCCTAGTAGATCTGGGACACTAAAGGCATTCAGAAAAGAAATGTTTCACATTATTATAGATTTCCTCTGAGAGCTTGTGCCAGGGCCCTGAGGGTACCACTAGGCCTTATAGTCCTCAATGGGCTCCCCTAGGGCCTCCCACTCAGAATCTCAGGTCCCATTTTGGCTCAGCCATGTTGCAGTCCATCCCCAGCTACACCACAGGGCTGCCTGTGCCTGGCCCCATCTCAGTACTGACAGGGTCCCAGTTCAGCACTCCCTAAAAGTGTTGGGGGCTGTTGGTGGCCCTGTTTTTGGTCCTGGCTCTTTCTGCTGCACTCAACCATGGGGTCCTGGCAGTGCCCTGCTCCCTGGCCCTGAGAGAGCAACCTTCTGGTGCTGAGTTTGAAACTTGCAATGTTGCATATCATTTATAATTAGGTAGCCAGATTTGCCAACACCAGCTGAAGGGCATTTTCCAAAGCAACAGTGTGTGCTGTCTGCTGCCTGTACTTACTCCTTGCCATCTCACCTTCTCTGCCCTCCTTGGTATGAGTTTTGTACTTTCATGTGTACTTTTCATTGCCCTTTCTTTTGGCAGTTCCCTCTGGTATCTTGTGTTGCATCTCTTGTTCACATGTCTTCCTACAGATGTGTTTTTCTGATGTGGGAAAGAGTTGCTGAAGCAATATCTGCTTTGCTCCTGGGGAGGACTGCAGATACTGAACATGAAACGAGCAGAATGTTTTGGGGAAAGTGTGTCATATAAGGGTCTAGATTTCCTCGTAGTTTATGGCACCTAAGTTTAGGTTTTCACTCTCAGGTACTCCTAGAAATAAGCTGTGTCTCTAGCATTCATGTTTGTCAATGGAGCTCTCCAGTCACCAGTAGTTCTGAGACAACCACCTTCCATTTGGTCGTTGATATTTAGACATCTACTTTTAGATACTGCCTTTCTGAAGCTCAGTCACAGGCAGGAAGTTGCTATCAGAAGAGCAGTTTCAGAGACGCCTAGGCTGCAAGATGTCTGTATGGGGTTAGCAGACACAACACAGGACATTAGGGTGATCCAAATGCTGGAAGGCCAGACAGGATGCCATATGATATCTCAAATATCACTGGGTGCCTTTGCTTCCATAAAACTGACTCTCTAATCAGTGCTGTCACTGAGGTCTAGAGAGTGGTTCAGTTTGCTCTCCATCAGCTGAGTGTATCTCTTTGTTCCTTTGACAATACCAATACTACCAGTAAGGTTTTTATTAACTAGAATAGGAGTTCAGATACATCCATTTGAACTTCTATACAGAGGCACCAAGAACCATAGAATCATTAAGGCTGGAAAAGACCTCCAAGGTCATCTGGTCCAACGGTTCCCCTACCACCAATGTCATCCACTAAACCATGTCCTTAAGCACCACGTCCAACCTTTCCTTAAACACCCCGGGGGATGGTGACTCCACCACCTCCCTGGGCAACTCATTCCAATGCCTAACCAAAAAACCAAAACCAAAGCATAACCTACATTTAATCTGTTGGTTGCATACCACTCTCAAGCTCTGTAGCAGTATAACGGTGCCAAAGTATAAATCTTAAGCCAAGATGAAGATTCCAAAACAAGCAAGCAAACACCTCAAAACAGCAGATTTTTCATTGTGAGAAGTTAAAATATGCTGTTTTTTTTTTTTTTTTTTTTTTTTAAGTGAGAGATAATCTCATAGATTTCCAATTCCTGTACACATAATTGAAGCTGAACACTTCAGAGCAATGCTAAATATATTCAGATTTGTGATGCCTTTGTAGGAGCTGACACAATAGCTATGTTCAAATATCCCCTGCTATTTGTAAAATAAAATTCTTACCCAGTTGTCATTTACACCATCCTTTAGACCTTTAGTGTGAATAAGGAATGCTTCCACAAATAATGGTGGGCAGTTCCTCCTTCAAGGTCTTGACAACCCTAATTGTTCATCAAGGTAATACCAAACAGCTGTCATAGGAACAACCTTAGAAATATCAGTCCCATAGTTTGCATGCAGATCTTTTTCTGCAATAAACACACTTTTTATTTCCTTCTTTTGACATCACCGAAGAGATGTGTATTTGCATTTCAGTAAGTATATGTAATTCCATTAACAGTAAGAGTGATTGGAAAGTATAGCAGGAAAACCTGTATTTCACTCCATTCATCTCTTGTATCTGCCACTGTGTTTATCTAAGAGTACAGAAATTTCAACCAGGTCTCTTTCCATAACTTCTGTATAAAATGGAAACTAACAAGTGCCTTTATGTGTATGTATATATATATATACATACACATATATGTATACATACACATATATACACATATATAGTTATATATATATATATACATATATATATATTTATATATATTTATACATTTATATATATATACATACACATATATGTATACATACACATATATACACATATATAGTTATATATATATATATATATATATACATATATATATATTTATTTATTTTCCTCAGAGAATTTTTTATAATAATTTTCTCTCTTTGTCAATTGTGGAATATCAGCTGGTCATAGATTACCAAATGCCTCTTTCTGTAACTGCAAAGGTGTTTATTCTTTATGAGATAAAGAGAGGAAAAACATGGCTATGACAGACAGTGTGTTTTGTCTCTTTGATAGATACTAGATTTGATGGGAAATCACCTGGATCCCACTTTACCTGGCAGTGCTTAAAAGTGCTTTATGCTTTGAACTATAAGAACAGATAACACCATGAAGAGAAGAAATCTCTGTTAAAAGATGAAAAATGTACTTTATCTCTTTGCATTTCCACCAAGTTTTTGAAGCTCACAGGCTGCAAGCTAGGCCTGCATCTGAGTGTAGGCAGTATTGTTTGTATCTGCTTTTCAAAGGTAAGTTCTATACACACAGGTTTGAAGTCTGTGGCTTTTAAACAAATGGACCTTTGTCTCTTACGAAGTTGGAGAGCTACAGAAACTTTTTTTTTTTTTTTAAACACCAACCACAATCTTTACTTTTCATAATATATGAATGAAATTTTTCAGGAAATATTGCTGAGCAAATCTTTACGTGGGTTTTATTCCACTGAGATGCACTGGAGAAAATGAGAAACTGAAATGGGGCTACATTTAAACAGGACTGGCCATTTGTCACATCTATGGGACTAGGAGAGCAGAGTGAATGACGCCAAGGCTGAAACACTTGCAAATGTCTTCACTGCTGCTAATTTCATTCTGTACTTGATGGAAAAGAATGTTCTTCCTTTGTTCAATGTTTTTGTGCCAGAAATTGAAAAGTGCAATGACCTAATTATTTCTTTATTGTACCAGCATGTCTTCAAGTGACTGATGTTTCATACTGATGGAAGATTATTGTTGCTAACTATGTTGCTGTAGTGTGCACACACTCTTTCACTTCAATTAGAAAGTGTTATTTTCAATAAAAAAACGTTGTTTTGTGCTGTGACTTGCAGCTCAGAAGTTTGTCCCATGGGTTTCTTATTATACAAAAGTAGAGAGATCCAGGGGAAACAGAAAGAATGAAAATTTAGAAGACTATTTCCTAGTCCAATCTTTGCAACTCAAACTTTGCAAACTTTGCAGACTTTGCAACACTAGAAAACTTTTTTCAAGTCAATCATTTATGCATCTTCAGAAGGAAATAAATTTCCCTTTGTTTCTCAGTGAAGCCCTTTAGGGTTCACAGTGTTTTAATTGGCAAGAATGACCTGACACAGAGTTTCAATGACAGTGATTATGAGAAACAAAAGTGCACATCCTTTAAGGCCAAAGGCTGCACTGAAACCTGTATCATCATCTCACAGTGACATTATTATTATTACGTGCTAGGAACGTTACAGTCTATGAGACTTCCTAAAGCACCGATTCAGCTGTGAAGTAAAATGTAATAGTTTATCGTCCTGTCATTTTATCAAACTACCCACGCATTGTTAAAAGACTGTTGGGGATTGTAGAACTTGCATTAATTTCTACATTCGTTGGCTACACAGATCAGAGTGCCTCTGTATTTCTGCTATGAGAGAATTCACACATGTGTTTAATTAATGCTAGGTTATAATGATATTCGCTATAATTTACTGTGTCATTACGGCTTATTGTAGATGCTCAATTTGAAAGGAGATGACAAATCTGTGCCTGGAAGAGATAACATTTTTTAATTTTGCAGGTGATTAGAAAGTATAGGTCAAATTTTGTCCCCAGATTTCACAGAATTCCTCTGAGACAGAATCTGGTCCTAGCTTACAATAGACTTGTGTAAGTCGGCAAAGAAAGCTAATTTGCACAATGTTGAAAGGACTATGTTCTACAGAGTATATAAAACAGCTCAGCTTGTCTTCAACTGCTAGCGAACTCATGTAGGTTCAAGCTAATTACTTTTTGGCACAGAGAGACCAAAAGTCATAGTTGCTTGTTTTGAACAGTCACTTATAAATTAACTGTCAAAATCACCCTAAACTGCATGAGCTCAATGGCTCATTAGATTGGCCAAAGTTAGCATATAAGCTTTAAATCAATTTATAAGATAAATTGGTTTGCTACTTGAATTTTTTGGTAGAGCCATTACTTGTCTTAATGCACGTTAATTTTACCATCTTTTATTTTTTAAACTTTATGCTTTTAGCTGCCAAAGCCTAGGCAACAAGAAAAAACTCCATAGGTATGCATTTCTCACAGGAGTTAGAAATAGCTTCACTGAGACCATATAACATCTTGTGCTTTGACAATCAGCTTTCCCATTAACATGAGAATGCTTTGGATCAGATCTTAGGAGAATAGTTTTTGAGTTCTTAGACACTTTTAGCATTTTTTTTTCCTATATATTTCTGAACTGTGTTTTTTATGTTAGGAAGAGCCTTACAGTAAAAACAGAGTAGAGCCAGATTGTATTTTATTATGTCTTCATATGAAATGGTTTATGTTGCATTCCAGTATGCCATAAATTAAAAGTATTTCATTTTGTCCTCTGTTTTTTGTTTCTTTTTTTTGATTGCAGTCCAAACGTTAATCTCTGAATCTATATGTAGACTAAACGAGAAAATTTCAGGACTGAGTGACTGGCACTGATTTCAGAAGTCTGATCATAGTTATTCCAATCTGAAATTATTGGCCTGGGATACCACATACTTTGGAGGATTTCTTATTTAATATCTCTTTGAAACCTGTTCATACTTTATTGCAAACAGTGGTATTGATCTGTGTGATGAAAAGACCTTTCTTCAGCAAATTTCCCGTGTATATATTCTGTGGCGGTGTTTTGTGTGTGTGTATTTAAGGTGTCTTCAGGGATTTTCTGAAATGGTCAGTAACCAGGCAAATGCTCCTGTGTCTTCTTGTATATAATACTCCACAACTATCCCAGAACTCTATTTGGACTACAGCCACATGAATTCATAGTGACAATTGTTCATTTGATGACTAATGTCCCAACCTTCAGAAACAGTGGGAGAGGGCCAGTAATCATTATGAAAGGCATTTCACAAGGACTAATATGTAGCACTACACGAAAGTGTTCACTTTTTCCTCTTCTGCTTTAGATCTGTTTCTGCTTTTCTTTTATCTGCAAGGGGAAAATTGAAAGCAGTTTCTATATTTCAGTCTCTATTTTTCCAGAGCTTTACTAATTGATCTGGTGCCAGCATCTATGCAACTAGTACTCAGATTTATCTATACAAATAAACATATTTTGCAGAAAACTGAAACCAAACATGAATGGAAGTTTTTCAATGAAAATTTTAAAAGTTCAGTAAAATTTTCTACCCTATTTTGCTTTCTCTTTCACCCCATGTTCTGGGTGCAACTGGCAGCAGATGCTGCAAAACTGATTTGGCAAAAGTTCAGCAGATGCACAAACGCAAAGCTTGATCCATGAGCACCATGTGAGATCATGTGGGACTGAGTCTAGTAAAGAGATTTAGATACTTTAACTAAGGTTTAAATATTTTTCTAAACATTTTTTGCCTCTAATTTAATCAAACTGCTTCATCTTTTGTAATTTTATTTTCTCTCATCCTTGGATTCTTTTTCCTCAGATCACATTTATCAGTCAATCAATAAGTTGTCTGTGAGATTGCAACTTAACCTACTGTCCTGGTTTCAGCTGGGATAGAGTTAATCTTCTTCGTAGTGACTGGTATGTTGCAGTGTTTTGGATTTAGGGGAAAAATAACGTTGATAACACACCAATGATTTAGCTATTGCTGAGCAGTGTTTACACTAATTTAAACGATTTTCAGCTTCTCATGCTGCCCTGCCAGTGAGGAGACTGGGAGTGCACAAGGAGCTGGGAGGGGACTCAGCCAGGACAGCTGGCCCAGGCTGGCCAAAGGGATGTTTCATACTGTATAGCATTATGATCAACAAATAAAAGGGGGGAGTTGGCTGGTGGGGTGCTGCTGCCCAGGGACTAGCTGGGTATCAGCTGGCTGGTGGTGAGCAATTGCATTGTGCATCACTTGTTTTTTAATTCTATTTATTTATTTATATTTTTGTTTTCATCCTTTCCTTATTAAACTGTCCTTATCTCAACCCACAAGTTCTCACGTGTTAACCTTCCTTCATCTCTCTCCCTCACCCCACAGGGGGGAGTGAACTGGGGTCTTGTAGTGCTTAGCTGCCTGCCAGGTTAAACTGCAACACCTATGAATGATAACTGATGATAGCTGTAGATGAGCAGGTTCTTTACTTTATTTATTTATTTATTTATTTTTCCCCCACAAATGAACTAATTTTCCTTTTTTCTTTTTCTCTTTCTTTTTCTAATTTTACTTACCATAGTGTGAACAAGAAATAAACAATTTAAGTTGATGGATTTGAAAAGTGAGATGAGAATCTATCTGAAAGGCTTGAGCATGGTACTCCAAAAATTTTTAAATTTCCTATATTATTATTTCATTAGTGATTAGATTTCTTATGCAGGACCTTACTCATGTCTGATTTACTTCCATTACAACAGACTAGCAAAAGCTTATAGAAATGTAATACATTATTTCTGCAGTCTGTGTGCACAAGCCTAATGCTGCAAGATACCTTCTATAGTTCCAACAAGTAGTGTCTGAAGGATATTTTGGATTTAGAAGCCACAATCAGGAGGAAAAAAAAAAAAAAAAAAAGTAGTGAAAGGGTAGATTTTGCTGGCAACATTTTTGTTTATGCGATCCGTGAGTACAAGGTTAGATGGTTGACTGGGAGTTCCCCTATCACCTGAAGAGCTGAATGTCACCACATCCCCTCTATGAATGCTGCTGAGCAAGGTACTGCAGGTTCCTGTCAAGGAGAAAGAAAAAAAAATAATTCTTTATGGCAGGTAAGTGAAGCTTCCCTGGAGCATTCATTTGGTCTGTCCCTGTGGAAGGGATAACTTCCTTCCACTGGTAGAACATGCTGAGAACGGTACTTTTTTTCTCTCTCATGGTGTTTTCATTCTAGGTCCTGATGCAATTTCATCAACTCAACTTAGACATCTATGGATTAAATGCATAAACCTTAGCTCCATCTGCAGCCAGAAGAGGAAAAGAGGCCCTCAAGAAGGCAATTCATCCCCGCTTTGACAGTAGTCTGAGGGTGCAGTGTCATGATCAGTCTAAGCCTGTATGAGATGTGATGCTGCTGAAATGGCTGCCCTCAATCTCCCTCCCACTGAGCAGCTGCACTGCCCTCCCTGTGGTGTCTCTAGCAATCAGACCACAGCTCAGTGAGAATGATCTCTGCGCTTTTCTTTTTGTCCAGAAAAAGAAAAACACCCAGTGTCCATCAAGCTGATTTGACTCACATCACAACTATCATCACCAACACTAGGGATTTGGCTGGAGGATGAGCATGGGTTAGGCAGAAACACAAGAGCACCATGGCCTTGGGCTGGTGAAAGATTATTGTGAAACTTCAACCTCCCAGGATAGATATCAGTTTAGATTTTCCTGTTTCTTTCCTGTAATTATAGGAAATGTAGCCAGCTAGGGCGTAGAGAGATGAAGCTGGGTGAGATGAATCTAACCTTTTAATTGGGAAACTAAAAATAACTTACTACAGAAATACTGTAATATTTGGCTATTTTTTTGTATAGAGTAACATCTAAACTACAGTCATAGTTGCTGTCAGAAACAGTTAATAGTGATATAGTTTCTTGGGAAAGCTATGACTAGCTGTTATGCATTTGTTGGGAGTTAATCCAATATTTGTTTCCAAATATAAATAGGCTTTTCTGGACGTCAATTACACTAAATATTTATTCTTTTACATGGAGCTTGTGTCTCTTTTCTGGACTTTGTTTCATCCACTTCTCTTTCTTTATTTGCAAAATCTCTAGCAAATACGTTGAAAGAATTTGAGTAACTGAGTTGTCTTTAGGTGAGACTCTCCAGGAAGCTGGAGATCCTACCAGCTGAACCTTGCTTTACTTATACTTTTCCTGTTGGGAGCCTGTCCACTAGTTCGAGTCTCTAGTCTTCAGCAGACCAAACAAGAGGGTCTTTTCACTGAGTGTTACTACCCTGACAAAACAAGTATTAAGATCTTCTGCAGCTCACATTAAGAAACATGAGTAAGTGGTTTCCTAATTATTCCATAATGTTACAGCAAATGCAGGAGGGAGAGGAAAATTAACAACTTATTTTTTAAGGAGAATCAAGAAAGCTAGTGGTGAGATCTAGTCTACCTAATTCAGAGATCAAACAGGTTCTTAAAATTTAGAGAAGGAGTGAGGCAGTGCACCTGAAGTAAATGCCCCAGGCTCCCGTATAATCAGTGGCAACTTATTTAGGCAGATCACATTTCCTCTCTAATCCTTTGATAGCATCTTCCACTCCCTGTTACTAATAAAGGAAAGGTAGGCATCATCTTTAAGACACTAGGAAGAAAGTCATTACAAAAATGGATATCTGAGCTAGCCATCCTAAAATCATTTATTATCCCTGGAGAGGGATATACTGAGGGTACAATTCTCAGCTTCACGTAGACATCTAAAATGGGTCATATGAACAGGACCCTGAATATCTTTATTTTTCTCCATGAAAAAAGGAATTTCAGGTGATTACTTCAAGTGCAAATATACATATTGCAAAGCTAGATTTCCAAGGTTGGGTTTTCTCTCACCATAGATATCTAATATTTACATCTGTGACAGGTGCCTATTTTGGGGGAATAGTTGCCCCTGTCTGCCTGGGATTTCTGACAGATTATATCTCTGTGGCTCTTCTGATATCTGTCAATGAAGGAACTATAACTGTATCTTTTCCCTTTGTTTGGATACTTACAGGATCTATCTTCCTTGGCTAGCTGCCCAATTTCACAGAAATTAAAACCAATTATAAGACAGATGTGTATCCAAGAATACCTAGAGATAAATATCTGCATTGTAGATAGCTGAATTTAAGTAGATTGAATGCCATCCACAGTGGTCATGCAAGACTGCTTCCATGGAAAAATAGGCTGAAATGGGTCAGGAATTTAAAATAATTGCTTCTCCCTGCATTAGTGCAAATGGGCATTTAAAACAATGTTGTAGTTAACTACAGCAACAAGAAGTGCATTTACTGTGTGAGGGAATACACATTTGAGAATTTTAATGCTACAATTCATTGAGAGGTGACAAAGGTACAGTGTGAATTTAAACCCTAATATTGCAAATGGGCTTTCTTCTTAACTTCAGCAGGCCCAGGATTAAGCTGATAGTGAAGGGGATGTTATAAATTAGCATGTACAATAAGTGATTCTTAGACCTAATTACCTGCAGCATTATTGTAGTTGTAAGATGTGTTAGCAGTACATTTACAGTGCACATTAGTGTCTAAAATGAACTATTCTATTTCTCCAAAATAACATTGAAATGGAGGTTCAAATACCTTTGTGACATTTTTTTTTTCAAACTCAGTATCAAAATTAAACCTAGTTCCCTAGTTCCCATTTCGCCAATCTTAGTGATGTCAAATGATCGAGAATGTCAAGTCACCTCTTTGAACAGAAATGGAACAGGGTGCCTTTGTCATGCTCCTGACAAGGCAAAACCAAATTTACCCATGACTAACAAGA